ATATAGTATATAGTATATAGTATATAGTATATAGTATATAGTATATAGTATATAGTATATAGTGTAGTATAGGATAGGATAGGATAGGACAGGACAGAGTTACAGTTAGGGTTAGGGTTAGGGTTGGAATGGAATAGGAATAGGAAGAATAGAATAGAATAGAATAAGAATTCTTTATTGGCCAAGTGTGATTGGACACACAAAGAATTTGTCTTCAGTGCATAAGTTCTCAGTGTACATAAAAAAATACATTCATCAAGAATCATAAGATACAGCACTTAGTGATAGTCATACGATACTAAATAAGCCATCAACATAAATCATACTAGAAAACTAAATAAAGCAACATAAACTGTAAAGATACAAGCAACAAAATTATAGTCATAAGTAGAAAATGAGCTAGGTAATAGGAAGGATGAGAAGAAGAATAGTTCTGCAGCCTTAGTAAATAGTTTGACAGTGTTGTGCGGATTAATTGTTTAGCAGAGTGATGACATTCGGGAAAAACCTGTCCTTGTGTCTAGTTGTTCTGGTGTGCAGTGCCCTATAGTGTCAGAAGTTGAAACAATTTATGTCCAGGATGTGAGGGGTCTGTAGATATTTCCACAGCCCCCTTTTTGACTCATGCAGTGTACAGGTTCTCAATGGAAGGCAGGTTGGTAGTAAATGTTGGCCTTGTGGGGGGGGAAAAAACACCATTCACGCGACATCTAAGGATTTCTCCATGGTGCGGACATAATCTATGAATTGTTCCATTTTTTGTGTGTCCAGGTTGCTTTGCTCACTAAAAAAAATACCCTGTAAAAAAAGTCTTTTAAACTTGCATGATGCCAAGATGTGTTGAGCCTGTGAAAGCTGCGAAACAATAAATGAGATGGAAGCAGCATGAAGAAAATCCTTTGGCGGCAAAATCAGTAGGAATTACTGGGGGTGGGTTGGTAGGTGGGAACACACACCTGGCTGTTTGATTACTTTTGGCCTTTTCAAATGTGACAGTCTGTGTCTCTCTTGGTTTGGTTTGCAAAGTGCTCTGTTGAGATCCCCCCCCTTTTTTTTCTCCTTTAAAAAACAAACAATGTGTGATGTGCAAATTTCCTCTTTATTTTCCCTTTAAAAAAAAATCAGCTCTTTTGCAAGGATTAAGGAAATAGTTTCTTTCCTCAGCTCACCTCTCCAGCCCTAGATTTCTAAATTTTGGGTTGCTTTTCTGCCAATTATCTGAGTTCAGAATTTAAGTTTGAGGATGAGAAGACTAGGGGTGCAGTGCCTCAGTGGCTAAGACGCTGAGCTTGTCAATCAGAAAGGTCGGCAGTTCTGCAGTTCGATTCCCTAGCGCCAACTGGATAACTTTGGGCCAGTCCCTCTCTTTCAGCCCAACCAACCTCACAGGGTTGTTGTGGGGAAAAGAAGAGGGGGAAGGTGTGTTGGATATATTTGCCACCTTGAGTTAATTGTAAAAATAATGAATGCGAGATACAAATAAAATAGAAAAACATACATATAGACGTGGTATATATTGACTGATTCATTGGAACAGGAACTTTTCTCCTTGTAGGGAAATCTTTTATTTTGTTGCTATTAACTTGATAATATTTATTGGATATTTTTTTTCCTCTGCCAAACAAGCTATTTATTTTATTAACAATCATGGGCTAAGTTACTTATAATTACCTTCTATAATACTGAATTCTTAAAAGGAAATGTAGATAGATGATAAATAGGTAGGTAGGTAAGTGAGAGAAAGACGATAGATAGATAGATAGATAGATAGATAGATAGATAGATAGATAGATAGATAGATAGATAGATAGATAAGGAAAATCCTTTCACAGAATCACAGGGACCTTCAAGGTCATTTGGTCCAACCCTCTGCCCAAGGCAGGAGACCGTATACCATCCCGGATCAATGCCTGTCCAGTCTGGCCTCTGATTGTTCCCTTGACATCCTCCTGGAGAACATTGTCCCAAGGTTTGCTCTCTCTCTCCTTTGCCTAGGTCACCAGCCCCAATGGGAAATGGTTCGGTGAAACCCAGGTACCTGCGGCGGTCGGTCAGCCATGTCGGAAGCTGTCCTTTTGGTTGTTCCAGTTGCGGCAAGGTCCTGAAGGACCAGGGGTTGAGCATCAGCACCATCACCGGAGCAGCAGATCTTCTGAGAAACAAGATCTGGGAGCTGGAGAAAGAGCTGAAGAGGCAGGAGGAAGAGTTGCACGAGAGGAGCTACCACATCTTAGAGCTTCAGGATCAGCTGGCCAAGCAAACCAAGACCATCGGAGACCTCACCGAAGAGCTGAAGTGTAAATGCGTCCAGCTGAACAAGCTACAAGATGTCGTGGTCACTCAAGGGACGAATCCTTTCCTTTTCCCCAGCCTCACAGAGACACCCAGGGCCAGCCAGGCGGCAGGGAGCAACAGGAGAAGAGGCGCAAAAGAAGGGGTGTCAGCAGAGCCAACTACCCGGACATACGACCTAACGGAGCAACCTCGCTTTTCTTTCGAAAAAGCCCGTGTCCGAAAGGCCTCCAGGTGAGCATTCTTCCCATTCAGACTTACATAGGATGGGGGAATCGGCGTGTGCTAAGCACATCATGTTGTGCATTGACCAGAATGATTACTCAGGCTGATTCTAGCCAGCTGCTGTCATAATATGAAAAATCAGTTGCAGTCTTTTTTCTTTCGTTCCGGTTTATCTTTCGGCTGCCTTTTGAGGCCGGCTTTTCCACTCTGGTCCTAGGAGGGCATCTTAGGATCCATCTGGGCAGGAATGCATGTGTGTATGTGATACAGAAATGTAGTTGCAATGGACATGGAAAGCTACCGTATTTTTCGGNAAAGTTTTGGGGGTTTGGGGAAGAAACCACAGAGTCAGGTAGAGCATTCCAGGCATTGATCACTCTGTTGCCAAAGCCGTATTTTCTGCAATCAAGTTTGGAGCGGTTTACCTTAAGTTTGTATCTATTGTGTGTTCGTGTATTGTTGTAGTTGAAACTGAAGTAATCAGGTAGGAAATTGAAGTAGATAATTTCATGTACTATGGTTAGGTCAGACTGAAGGTGGCGTAGTTCTACATTGTCTAAGCCCAAAATTTCAAGTCTGGTGGCATCAGGTATTCTGTTGCAAGCAGAGGAGTGGAGGACTCTTCTCATGAAATATCTCTGGATTATGATTTTGCACCTTTCCGGAACGTAATAGAAAAAGGGGTTGGCCATTGTTTCCTTCTGTTTTGAAGCTTCCCATTCTTTCTTCCAGATTTCCTGGTGGTGCTTCATCCCGTCCCATCCCAATCTAGCCCAAGGCTGCAGACTTTGTCAAGATCAGCCAGGATGTCCATTTATGATGGAGAACTTCTTAATAATGCCTGGTATTAGAAGGACAGATTTCAGAAGTAAAAATGTGAGGGGAAAAGTGGGTGTGAAGCTTGAGAGAGAAGAAGAGGGAGGAAGAGGTATCAGGTACATAGGTCCAAAACCTCACAATCTGTTTAGAAGCTACATCTAACAAGCTACAATCTGTTTAGAACGGAGCTCTAACAAGCTGTAATCTGTTTACGCCTATTCCAGTCAGTCTGGGGAATCGGTGTTCAATGTTCCCCCAAGCGAACACTCCAGCTATCTGGCAAACCGCTCTAAAGAAGCATTTCAGGGGAAAAAGAAATTGTGTCTGGGACATTCCCTACCCCCCCCCCCCCTTCACTTCCTACATCTGTAAATACCTCCCGCTTCTCCTCCCTTCTCTCTTTTATTACTCTCTCTTTCCTCTTCCCCCCTCTCTTTAAACAAATCTTTCTTTTTCTCTCTCAGTCATATCTCTTTCTTTCTCACTCTTCCACTGCCTTCCTCCCTCCTCCTTCTCTCTCTCTTTCCTCTCTTTCTCCTCTCTCTTCTCTTTCTCTCTCTGTCTTATCTCTCTCTTTCTCACTCTCTCACACATACTCTCTCTTTCCCTTCCTCCCTTCCTCCTTCCCTCTCTCTCCTCTCTCTCCTCTCCCTCTCCCCCTCGCTCTCTCTATCGTATATCTCTTTCTCCCTCTCTCCCTTTTGCTCCCTCTCTCTTTCTTTCCCTTCCTCCCTTCCCTCTCTCTCTTCTCTCTTTTTCTCCTCTCCCCTTTCCCCATCTTTCTTCCTCCCTCTCTCCTCAGCCCCGTCTCCCAGGTTTATAAGACTGCCAGACAGCAAAAATATATGCATAAAAAAATAAAAACCCGCGACGCAGGGTTGGCCCTAGAAATTAGCATTGCTATCTACGCCCGGCTGAGAATGTGAGCTAATCTCCTGCAGCAGAGCCGTTAAAATAATTGATGAATGTGGGCTGGTGTCTCAGGAGTGGAGGGGTGGGTGGGGGGGAAGGGGCGGGGGGAGGAGGTACTGATTTCACTCCGGTAGCGTCAGAATTGCGTCAATTTGGGTTTCAACCACGTCTTCGCGGCTCAGAGCTCGGTGAGTCAGAAGACCCGAACCAGCGGACAAGGGCTCACGAATCGCTGTGACGGAGAGGAGGACCCGACCAGGCCTTGCCCTCTCTTCCGTCTCTCTCTTTCTCTCTCTCTCTCTTTCTGTCTCCCTCCCACCTGCGACTGCTCTCTCTACCTCCTCCTCTTTTCCAAACCTTCCCGGGTCTTTCGGGCTGGTATTGGCACCGAGTCGGGAAACAAGTCTCCCCTCTTTTGGTTGGTGGGCTTGCGCACGCGTTGCCTTTTTGCGCGGGGATCCGCCGGAGGGGGTGAAAAAAAGAGGCAGGAGGAGAGAGGAGGGAAAAAAGAAAGCTTCAGCACCTTGGACAGCACACGCAGCAAACAACATGGCTCCGATTACAGCCAGCCGAGAAGAATTTGGTAAGAAAGATTTATTTTATTTTATTTTAAAAAAAGAGAGAGAAATTACAAAATGCGAATCCAGGTGGGCTCCATTTCCCCACCACCCCACCCCACCCCACCCAATCCCCACAGTTCCTTCTCAAGGAAAGTAGATGACTCTGCCATTTTGGACTCCTTGGGGAGTTTGAAACCCTTGCGTGTTTCCACTTTGATCTTGGGGGGTGGGGTGGGGTGGGGGTTCTGTGCCTCCCTTTCC